CAGTTTCAGTGCCAGGGCATGTTGGTGAGCTGGAGATGCCAAGTGCATGGCAGTGTCAGCACAGCTCTGGAATCTGGGGAGGGAAAAAAGAAGGAAAAAAATTAAAAAGAAAAACTTCCTCAAAGCCACTGGGGCTTCCCATCTTGGCCACATGGGAATTTTAAAGCTTAAATTTCTGCTTCTCTTTGGGGTTAAAGATGTCCCAAATGTTTCTACACAAGACACTGGAGGAGATGAGGCAGGATCAGTTCTTGCAGAGCTCAAAGGGGACCCTGCTCCTCTGTGGCTGCCCCTCTTTGCTGAGCCCTGCAGAAATGGAACTCCAAGGGGAGCAAATGCCAGGAGAATAAGTCATGAAATAACTAAATTTGGAAAGGATCCCCAGGATCATCAACCACGACTCAGCCCCAGGCCCAGGGTCACCACTGACCCCTGTCCCCGAGTGCCACCACCATGTCAGGAACACTCCCAGGGCTGGGGACTCCCCCACTGCCCTGGGGCTGGGGGTGGCCAGGAGGAGACCCCACACCAGCCTGGCTGGGGTGATCAAGAGCTGGGTCCAGACGTGCCTGTGAATCCTCCTGGAGCTGTTTTTCACCACTTAGGGCCACCAGGAGCTCCTGAAGCAGCTGTCCCTCCTCCCCAGAGACAACTACAACCTCCTCAGCTACATCTGCAGGTCAGTGCTCTGCACAGTTCGGGTTTGGTCTTGGGGAGCAGAAATGTCATCCCAAAGGATGACTCCTCCAGGCTGAGCTTTCTTAAGCTGTGCTTTGGTTCCCTTTGAGTCACCAGATCCTTTTTGTAGAGAAGAATTTCAGCCCCTGGGATAAACCCCCTGACAATGTCTGAGCATGAATCACCACCCTCAAACTCATTTATAAATCTCTGGGAATTAAAACCAGCTCTAGTTTTCCTGGACAAAAGCCTTGTGCACCAAAACTTTTGGGCTTCACCCAGCCTGGGTAGTTTTTCTCTGGTTGGAGGTTTGAGGAGGGGATTCCCTTCCTTTCTGATTTGTTTCTAAGGGGAGCAGCTCCTCACATGGTGACTTTTTATTCTGGTACCTGGGTAAGACCCAGCTCCAGTTCAGTTCTAAGGCTGAGTGTTTCTGTCCTTGTGACTGAGAGGAAGAGCTGGGAGGATGAATCAGGATTTTTTCATCAGTGAGGCTTTTTGCAATCTTCCACCTGTGATGTGAAATATTTGCTCTGGGATTCTGGCAGGTTCCTCTATGAAATACAACTGAACTCCAGCGTCAACAAGATGAGTGTGGATAACCTGGCCACAGTGATTGGAGTGAACCTCATCAGACCCAGGATTGAGGACCCTGCAATTATCATGAGAGGTAAAAGGGACTCCTGGAATAATTGCCATAGTTCAGCCTGGCATGCTGAAATCCTGAGCCACATCCACAGCCTCGAAATTAAAGATTTTCTGTGGTGAAGCTGATGCAAGCCAGAAATGTGCCCAGGCACAGTGAGTACAGGGTCAAGCCATATTTGTTGGGCTGTAAAGGTGTTTATGACAAAAACCCTTCAGGAACTGACAAAATGACAAAAACAAAAACACCCCACTGCGTGTTCCCTTCATGGAGTTCAGCAGGTTCAGGAATTTGGTGAGGTCATCTCTGTGCTGCTCAGAGCTGGAAGGTGTAAAATCCTTCTTGGGAGAGCAGAGGAAACTCAAAGAAATGTGGCTACTCATTTCCTTTCACTCATAACATTTACTTTCTTTGGCTTTATGATCCTGCTCCTTGCTTTCTGTTCCATCTCCATTTCAGACACCAGAAAGACCGAGCAGAAAACCTGAGTGGTGGGAGGGATCCCGTGGCACTGGGTTTGGCCCTGACAATCTCTAGTTCCTCCAGGCACACCCCAGGTCCAGAAGGTGATGACTGTGCTGATCAGTGACCATGAAAAGCTCTTCCCCCCATCCAAGGATGTGGCTCCCTCCCCACCTGCCCAAAAAGCCGAGATGAAAGCTCCTGTCCCTCGCAGCTCCGTGGGCTGGGGAGCTGCAGAGGATCCCGCAGCACCCAGAGGCTCCACCCAAAGGCAAATGGTGAGGATAGATCCCCAGGGGAATCATCAAGGCTCGGTTTATTGATATATGGTTAATTGTGGCAGGCTCTGACAGCGAGCCCTACAAGCATTTGCTATTTATAGATTAAAAAGCTGTGTCTGTCACCCCTGGAATATTTACATCAGGAAAACGATGTAGATAAACTTTCCACTTTCCTGTGGAAAATCTACTGTTCTGGGGAATATGAAAACTCCCAAAGCTTTTTGGCTGAACAGCCAAGCACATGAAACCTTTTCAGCTCAGGCTGGTGAAAGGAAAACATTGGGGATTAAAGGCTTTTCTTCAAAGGAATCTCTGCAGAAGTGGTAAATGTGGTGCAATTCAAAATGGTTTTTAATGGAACAGTGTGGCTATTCCTCCAGCATGTTGAAATGTGCCCCTTGTAAAGTGACAGCAGTGGCTGTGACCTGGCTGCTCCAGGGCTGTTTTTGTGTTTTCCAGAGGGATCACCCCAATTCCAGCAGCTCCCCTGGCCCAGCTGCCACCTCGAGCATCCCCGGGGAGGACACAGAGTCCAAAGACACGCTGGGAACGTGGAAAACACAGCCAAGGAAAAGAACTCAGACTTTGCCTACAAGGAAATCCTTCCTGGCAGCAGCTGCTCCAGGGGAGAAGGGCAGCAAGGAGAGGAATGATGTCCTTGCCAGTGACTTTTGGAAAAGCAGCACACGCCCCGTGGCCCCTGATGGACACAAGAGAACGTTGTCTCATGATCTTTTTAAGCTGCTCGACCTCCACAGGGCTTCAGCCTTCGACAGTGCTCCCCCCTCCCAGGCAGAGAGTGGGGAGGGCAGCGGCTCCAGCCCCAGCCCTGCCAGCAGCATCTCCGAGAAGGAATTCCTGCCCTGCCTCAGTCCCAGCCACGAGCAAAAGGAGCCAGCCAGTCCCACCAGCAGCCCTGCTGAGGACCCCAGCCCTGAGCAGGAGAGCAGGGAGTTCTTGCAAAGCATGATCCTCAAGCTGGAAAAGGACATGGAGGCACAGAGAAATGACTACGAGGGGCAGATTAAAAGGTAACTGCAGGGAGCTGCTCTCTGCAGAGTGGGAAATGTGCAGCTCCTGTTGTGACAGCAAACACTGCACAGATCATTTACCAGCAATGTCATGCAGCATATAATAGCAGTGATTAATGATAAAATGCAGTATTCGGCAGGCTGTCTAAAAATCACTGTGCTGCACTGCACGAGCTGTGCTCTCATCACAGTGGGTGATGGATTATTACAACATCAGTACTCCAAGCTCTTATCACATCATTCAATGGCACTGCAATGTCCCTGCATTCCTTTGCACTGTCATAATTCCTGTTATTGCCATGACATTAGCCTGACATTAGAATTCACCAGTAGCATTATTACACCATTGGCTGTAACCATCAGCCCCACATGACAACAATATTATATTATGGCTATCCCATTAGCAATACACATGTATCACATTTACTGATATATTGCATCAAGTTATGTGGCCACTGAAGGGCTCAGGACAGCATCTCTGACTTGTTTTGAGGCTGAGGTGAGACTTCCTGAGAGCCAAATGATTTCCCAGCCCTTTTCCAATGCAATGCAATGCAATGCAATGCAATCCAATGCAATCCAATCCAATCCAATCCAATCCAATCCAATCCAATCCAATCCTTTCATGCTCTGTTTCCCTTCACAGTCTCCAGGAAGAGAACTATGAAGTCTGGGCCAAAGTGGTGAGGCTGAACCAGGACATGGAGCAGGAGAAGAAGAAGTGTGAGGAGCTGGAGCTGAGGCTGATGAACACGGAGCGCTTGCGGGAGGAGCTGGAGAAGAAAAACAAGATGCTTGAGGAGGAGTTAAAAAAATTAACTAAACCCACGAGTAAAACTGGTGCCAAAACCAACTAGGAGGAGACACCCAGCTTTTCACAGACCCCAGATGCAGCTGCACAAATGCATAGGAACTGCAGGTTCAGAGCCAGGGACTTGTATTGTCCAATGTCCTGCTCCTGCCCACAGGCCAAAGGGGAGGAAGGAGAGCAGAGCTTAGAGACTGGTTCATGCTCTGAACCAGGAAATTTAAAAAAATATCCTTTAGCTTTTTTGGGTGTGTTTATTTCAACTCTTCTTTCAGCTGCTCAGGTTACCTGGAGAACAGGCCAACACCTCCTGCTGCTCAGTCAAAATTGCACTCAGAAGTTTGGGTTATGGACACAGTGGGCCTTCACAGAAAGAAACCAGAAGTGTCCCTCCTCCAGCTGCCTGTCTCCTTGCTGGAGATACCCACAGGCAGAACATCCATGGATCCTGGATCTGGGCAGGCAGAGGAGCCCCAGGCCCAGGGAGGCACAGCCCTGGGTGGTGGAGATACTCACATCAATCCCCAGTTGGTTTGTGCTCTCCTGGGGCAGCACAAAGGTCTGAGATCTCCTGCAGCATCACCTACCCCCACACCCCGGCTCCAGGCAGAAGATCCCACCATCACTCAAACCTCTTCAGTTCAGGGGCTGTCCGGCTGTTTTGGGTCACTTCCCCACAGCTGGCTGTTCCTAAATCCAGCACAGCTGACAGAGCTTGGAGAGCACCTTCACACAGCTGTACCTGGAGTTCTTTGTGCAGAGAGACACAACTGGCAACTCCAGCACAGAAATCCTGCATTTTCCCTGATGGATACACTTCAAACGATGACAAATCTGGACTTTTTACTGCCCTGCTTTGGAGCTTTGTTGTTTCTGAAGTGCAGAACAGAATTTCCTCAGCCAGCTGATGGAGCCCTGGGTTTGCACCCCAACTAGAATGTTGGATCTCTCCCCAACAGTGCAAAGACCCCCTGGACCCTAAGGTGTCCCTGTGGTTGTTTGTGACCTTTCTGCTTGTCCCCACCCCTACCAGAGTCCTGCCAGCAGCACCACGGTGCTGCCACAGCTTCTGGTGGAAGAAAGAAGAATGCCAGGACTCTGAACAGTTATTTTCTTCTACAGAAAACCTTTCATTTATTTATTTGAGGAAGGGGAACAATCCAGCCTAGAGCCTTGATGGGGACAGGAAAGGGAAAACCACTGAGATCTGCAGTTTTCAAGCAGGACTAAGTGCCAGGCATGGTGAGGGGAATCACAACTCTGGGTTCTGCCTGCTGAGGACTTGGCTTTGGTGAGACAAAAGCTCAGCCCCAGACAGGCTGCAGAACTGTATGACAGGGAAAATGAACTGGGGGGAGAAAGGGACACAGAGGAAAATGTGGGAAACAAGGGGAGGTGGGAGTGAGAAAATGTTATTGGAGAATAAAAGTCAGTGTTGGGTATAAAGCACTTGCTGCTCTCAGCCTTGCTGGAGATGGGCGGGGGGTGCTGGTTTAGCCCTAAAACTGAGCCCAGACTCAGTCTCAGATCCAGTTTGGTGCATTGAGGATATAAAGTCTGGGGAAGGAGCAGTTTGTGAAAACTGAGCTGCATTCAAAAATCCAACTTCTAAGTGGCTCATTTGACCTATAGACCCTGACTCCAGGGGTTTTCCTTTGCACAGAACTCCAGACACCATGGAGCTCCTCACTGTCCTGCCCACAAACCTTCACACCAGGGAATGACTGCTCAGAGGCCTTCTGGGTGTCCCACAGAATCCCCAGCACCCACAGCATCCCTCTGCTCTGCCAGGGATCAAACCTGAGCACAGGGTTTTAAATCTGTCTGAGAGGTTTCAGATCTGTCTTGGCAATGGGAAATCTCAGTGAGGAGCACGGTGAGGATCTGCACTGGGCAGTGAGCCTGGACCTACTGGTGTAGCTCCACAGCTCTGCAAAGGGATGGACATCAAGGAGAAGAGCCCCAAGGAGGGGAGGGTGGCCTCAGCCATCCTCCATGAGCACCCAAAGTTTCCCTCCCCACACCTGCAGGCCCCACACACCAAAGGAGTTGTGTCCTGAAGTCTCTTGCAGTTTCTTTCTGCTGCTCTCCAAGTCCCCACCGTGGGACCTGTGACTTCCCCACACTCAGAGGTTCCAAAGTGCCTGCCACCATTTCACAGCTGCCACTCACGAGTCTTTCCTGGGATTTCAGATGACCTTGACAGAGCTGCTTCAGTGTTAATTTGATTTTTTTACCTCTGCAAGAAGCTTCTCAATAGTCTGAGCATGAGGCCCAGGAGTCATTAGGGAGAAACTTCTCCGTGGGGTTCAGGAGCAGCATTGTGAACATCTGGGCTGGAAATGCCACACGCTCCTTTCTGCAAAGATCAAAAGTGTGAAGAGGCCAATAATTCCTTCACAGCAGACTGTAATGACGTGCAAAGGCTTGGCTGAGGCTCAGAAATCTCCACGATTAGGACAAGTGCACGTTATTTAAAATAAACTGCACATTCCTCCGCTTCCGCTCAGATAGGCAAAACAACCCCGTGGCTGTGAGGATCAGAGGGGCTCCTTTGAAGATATTCCACCCATTAACATTTGCAGCGTTTATAGAGGTCATCTGTGAAAGAGAGACCTTCTAATAGAGGTCAGGTGGGCTGGAAATTCCTGAGAGCCTGGAGAGGAGAGAGACACGGGCACCTTGTGAGCTGCTGCTGCCGCCATTGGGTGCTGTAAGATAATGAGGATTTATTTTGTTTTTAAATGAGCTTTTTCCAGAGACAGAGAACCATGAAATGCCCATGCCAGAGCTGTGAAACTGCACCCTTTCCATCCCTGAGGGGATGGGTGTCCTCTCTGCTCAGCCCAGAGCCTGCTCTGGATTTTCTGCACTTGCACATCTTCTGCTGGAGACCCCACAAGGTGAGATCTCCAAAAACTGACTAGTGCCCAGCCTACATTTCCTTCCTCCCTATATTTCTGCAGCCAGGCCATGAAGCTTTTTGGGGTGGGAGCAGCAGAGAATCTCTCCTGTTCCTGGGGAAGGGGTGGTAAAGGACATTATAAACTCACAGTGAGGGTTTCACGGCCTTTCAGCTCAGCAGGTTTTGGGCATTGACTCTGGATCCCCTGGAGAGTTTGATGCTGCTCCTGTCACATAAAAACACAACAGAATGCCTATCACAGAGAAGAAAGATCCTTTCCAGCCCTGTCCTGTAGGCTTGGAAACCTCCAAAAAGACATTTTTCACCCCTTAACCCTCCCACTGCACCATGAGGACACAAGAGCTTCACCAAGGTGATAACACTGAGATCAGACTGAGGATTTTCCTCTCCCTTTAAATGTGACATGGCTTTCCAAATTAGAGCTGTTAAACCACAGATCCCAATGCATCAAAAACTGTTAAATCATGCAATGTGGGATGAGTAAGATACCTTTCAGGCCATCCTCTCAGTCCCCCCACTGCATTCTTTGTGCTAGAGCAGAAAGTCTGTTTTGCTCTTCTCAGGTATTTACTAAATAAATTCATTTAGGAATTCACTTTGTTGTATCCAAGGGTTTGGTAGGCATAAGAGGCAAGAAAATAAAATTATCCTTCTCACATTATTGTGTTTGGATCCCAAGCCAGTCACGCTTATTGTGACTTATCCCCTCATATTTATCAAAGTTGTGTTTTTGGCACGATAGGAGCTTTCCTTTTTTAGCCTGGCCACTGCGCAGAGAAGCACGTTGCTGTGGGAGGCGAGGTGGACGTGCAGGAAGTGTCCAGCCATGGCTCAGGAGGCCTTGTCCAGACCCCAGGAGCAGTGAGAACATGTTGTTCTCCCTGGCAGTTCCAGAGGGATGCAGTCCATCCATCCCTCCTTCATGTGGGAGCTGAAAGATGCCCCCAGACCAGGCTACTTTTGGGAAGAAAACACCAGACTGGGAGTGGGAACAACTCTTCACCAAGGTGGGGAGGAAAATGTGTCCCAAAGTTGGCAGCAGTGCCCCTGTCCCATTTCCCCTGTGTTTTCCTGCCACCTTGCTGCAGCACTGGGATCTACGAAGCCACAGTGCCCTGCAGGAGAAATAACCTGGAAAAAGAAGCATCCTGATAATGCCAGGGAACAGCAGCAGGAAGCAGCCACAGTAGCAGGGGTTAAGAGTTGTCCAGGTAAGATCTTCTCTGGAGAAAATCCTCATCTGTTCCAGCCCCAAACCCTGCCAGTTTAGGAGCTGTGAGATTTTCATCCAGCCTGAGTGCTGGAGTGGTGAACGTGGCACAGAGGCTCCAGTCCTTGGAGAATCCAGGCTGCCAAAATCTTCCTGCGTGAGGATCCCCACCAAGGGCTCCCTTCGAGCAGGAGTTCCCCCTTTCCTCTGCAAGAGTTTCCCCAGCAGGCAATTCCCATGAACAGCATTAATTGGGGTTACTCAGTAAATGAGATTTATAACTTCAAATACAGAGGCAGGGATTTGGGTGGGATTTTCCCAGCTGTGGGGCAGAGCAGAGGCCCTGGTGGTGCTGCAGGACTCCAGGGTGTGCTAAGCCTTTAGGAAACATGTGAGAACCCCCTGAGGTGAGCTGCCCATCCAGCAGAGAAGGAAATGCCCCGTTTTCTCCTGAGCCCATCACGGGGGAAGCTTCAGCAAAAGCCCTTTCCACACAGAACCCTGTCCCCAAGGTGTCCCTGCACCCCTGAGTGCCCAAGGGCATCGACGCTCCCGGCGCCGTCAGCAGCCGCTGGTGCAGCTTGTGAAAATTTGCTTTATCATGCGTAAAAACACGATGTGATATTTCAGCCCTCTTCACACAATGTCCTGATAACAGGGCTGGGAACAGGACAGCGTTCCTGTAATCTCAGCTGGCCCCAGCCTTTGCTGCATCCAGGGGCAGATTTCCCCCCAGCCAGGGGGGCAGGGGCAAGGCTTCGACCTCTGCCTAACGAAATGAGGATAAATCTTGGCCTGGCACCTGCATTCTGAGCATGTGAGAGGTAAATCTTTCCTTTCCCTGGCAGTGCTGCCGTGTTTCCTTCCTTGTCTCCCTGATAAAGCTGGCTCAGGCTGCCATCCAGCCGGAGAGGCTCCCCTTGAGCTCCACGTGCTCTGGGTGAGATCCACACTCAACCCCTAAGGCCAGTGGGGATTTTGAGTCTTTTCAGCGACACCTTTACCCTGTGTGTCCCTTCCTGGAGCTCCAGCGATGGATCTCTGAGCGCTGTCAAGTGTTCCCTTCACATGCATCCACATTTCTGATGCCACTAAAAGTCTGGTGCTCATTTGAAGTGCTGAGAGCTCTATGGAAATGCCTTTCCAAAAGGAGTCAGGAGGTCAGCCAAGCACCCCAAGGACAGTTGTTCCCAACACAACAGCTACAGACAGCGCTGAGGAGTGAAAGGTCAAAATATCCACTGGAAACTGGAGTGTTGTCACACCCTGGGAAGGGATGTTTCCTTGGGAACTGGGAATGTGCAGCTCCCTTGCTATATCCCTCCTATCCTGGGTAAAGAAAGCTCTGTAAAGTGTGAAATGGGGATAAATCACATTTACAGTTTGCAGGAGACACAGGACACATGTTCAGAGACACAATATTTCCACAGAGCTGGATCTGCCCCCTTGGTGGTGGGGAAAGGCATTAGTGTGGGGTCAGGAAGAGCACAGGGAGGGATGGCAAGACAGCAGCAGATTAAATTGCTGTCAGCCATCCTGACCCGCTCCCAGACCTGAAGCCCCACTGGTGATGGCAAGCAGGATGACTTTTAAAAATAAAATTGCAATTTAAAAAATAAAATTGCTTTTGCCCATTTGTCAGCTGTTGAGAAATCAGAGGCAGAGAGAGCAGCAGGGATGAATCTCCTTCACATCACACCCCAACCTTGACCTTCCCATCTTCACTGGGCTTTGGGACCAGAGCAAGGAGCCCTTGGCCCATGGTCCTGCACCAGGATGCTGCACCTGCAGTGCCTGGGCCAGAGTCTGCACCTGAATGCTCAGCTCAAACCAAACTGATTCCTCTGTCTGTCCCAGTGAAGGTCAGGCCATTGAGGTCACAGATTTTTGCTTTTCCTAAAGGCACAGAAGTGATGGAGCATTTGAAAATGTCTGCAGGGCACACATGAAGCAGAGTCAAGACTTGAGGGTCCTGAGTCCCAACTTACAGTAAAAATATTAGTGATAATAACTTGATCACCAGGCTTGACCTTTCCTTTTAGTAACTTTGGGCTGCAGGTTTGGGGCCAGAAGTGTCGACATCATCGCTGTCTGTGGTGAAGACAGTGGTTACATCCCCTGAGAAGAATAATGCAGGAGCAGGATGGTTATTGACAGGAGAGCAGCTGGGAGTGGGCAGAGAGGTGCAATTCTCCATTCCCAGAGGTGCAATTCTGCATTCCCAGAGGTGCAATTCTCCATTCCCAGAGGTTTCATTGTGTCCCAGTGGCTCCCAGTCCCTCCGAGGCTGCTGTGTTCCTGTAGCAGGGCCCAGCTGCCCCAGCTCTGTCCAAGGGGTGACAGAGCAGGGTTAATGCAGCCCTGGGAGCTCGCTGAGCCCTTGTCCAAACCCTCTGCCTGCTCTGGAGCTCATTAGTGCTGTGCCCTGAGCAGTGTCAGGGCTGGTGAGGGGCAGCCCCGCCAAGCGCTGCCTGCTTCGCTCCCCTGCCATTAACTCCCTGCTCATTATCTCCAGAGCACTAATTAGGGCCCGCAGAGGAAGCACAAGACACACAATCAATATTATTGGGCCACATTTGCAGCTGGTGTAAATTGTTGATGGACAGAGATCAAGAAATGCCAAGGAAAGAGGAGGGAGCTCAGCGAGGAAAGTGACTGTGGATGAAAGCAGCTGCTCTCCCTGCCAGAACAACGTCAAAATTGGTGCAAAGCTCCAGGGAATATTTAGGATTGCAGGCTACATTTGCATTATGTTGCTATTTCGTGTCTGTCTCAGAAGCAATCCACTGCTGTAAATCAAAATTGAATCACTTCAACCCTTTTCAGCAGCTGCATCAGCCCATGGGTCTCATACCCCTGTAGATCCCTGTGTTAACCCAGAGGGATTCAGTGCAGGCCAGGTGAGAGCACAGTGAGCAGCACCTGCAGAGCCCAGTCCCAGGGATTGCAGGAATGGTACCAGGGCTCCCTTTCCCTGCAGCTCATTTGCTCTGCTTCCAGTTCAGGGGTCAGCCTGAAGGCTCCTCTGGGCGGAGCTGGGCATCTGAAATCAGGGAATTGTGGAAGGGGTTGGGTTGGAAGAGACTCAAAGCCCATCAGTGCCACCTGTGCCATGCCAGGGACACCTCCCACTGTCCCAGGCTGCTCCCAGCCCCATCCAAGCTGGCCTTGGACACTGCCAGGGATCCAGGGGCAGCCACAGTTTCTCTGGGCACTCTGTGCTAGGGCCTGCCCACCCTCCCAGGGAACAATTCCCTCCTTATATCTAACCTGAATTTATTAAACCTGAACTAATTTTAACCTAAATTTCATAAATACCCTAAAACCTGGCAGTGATCAAAGCAGGCAGAGCTCAAGCAGCATTGCAGTTTTGCTCTCCCAGAGCTTTGCATCCCCACCGTGTCCGAGCAGGCAGCGGTGACAGCTCAGGAAATGGATTCCACCAAATCTCACAACAACTGATGGGAGCTGCTCTAATCTCTGGCAGATAAGGAGTTGCTACAGCAAAGCCATCATAAACCTGAGCTCCCTGGCAGGCTGGGCTGTTGTTTAGCTGCTGTTGCTAGCCAGCTACTGTACCTGATTGCAGAGACCACCCTGCCTCTAAACCTTCTCACTTAACTCGACACATACATTTTCAACACCATGTGAAGCTCCCAGACTGGACAGGCTCAGTCACACAGAGCTGAAGGACATTGCTTGGGGAGCTCAGCCAGCATCCCTCAGCCTAAAGTGAGCACAGGCACAACTGGCAGCAGCTTCTGCAGAACGGTTATGTTTATATGGAATGGATGCAGCTGCCCAGCTAAACTAAAATACAGCGTGTTGTCTTTGTTGGTCATCACAGAAAATGAAATATGTGGATAGGGAACAAGCCAATACCCTCCTGTTCAGGAAGCATTGTTCTGTGTCACGGAAATCCATTCCTCTCCTATAATTTCCTTTATTGCAGCCTTTTTGATTGCTTTTATCCCTCCTTTTTCCTGTCTTTACTTTAAAAATAATCAAAAGTCTTGCTAAACCCTTGAAATGCTCAGCAGGAGGTGGATCAGTTTGTGCTGGGAACAGAATCACACTGAACACGTCCTCAGGGCCAGACACACCTGGGTGACTCTGGGCCATGCCAGGGCTTAGCCCCAAACCTTTTCACACCCAGGAAAATCACATCATTACTCTGCATGGCTCAGTACAGGAGACAACCCACAGTATTTCTCCTTTTAACATTAAAGCAGGAGTTTAGAGTCAGATGAGGGTCCTATTTTGTGGCTGTTTTATGCTTTCTGTGGCACAGCAGCTCCCTGCCTCCCTGCACCCCTGACATTGCCTGGGCCAGGAACACCCAGCAGTGGCCAAAGGCCTGGTCTCAGCACTGATACCCAACAATAATACACTCCACATCATAAACCTCTTCTTCCAAGGGGTGCTGATAAGAATTTCCATTTTTAG